GCGGCCCGAATGATGTGAATTGCGCAAGTGGCGCGGCGCGAATTGATCGTTTTGCACATTTAAATCGCTCGAGTTTGAAAATCTGAACTTCAGCGAACATTCGCTGACCAATCAGGAGCTTGCTCTTGTGGGGGCGTGATTATGACGTAGCACCTGTTGTTGGTGTCCTGGGGGAAATCCTCCTGCACACACCGACAACAGTTCATCAAACTGGGTTTGGCTCAGTCAGAAGCACCGCTGAAAGCCTCCATCATCCAGGTTAAGTTTCTGGAGGAGTTCATGAGCCCACAGAGCTGGTGCAACTCTGAAAGAATCTAGTGGACTCAGACACTGTTTCAAAGGAATCAACGCTGTTTTTCAGCTTTCATAAACTCATAAACGCATCTATTCTCTCAATAAAATCCATGTTAGCCATTTAGCAACGAAGCTACAGTCACCAGACAGACAGAAGCCCTGCTCATAATGCGAATCCGCGTCTGCTCTGAAGTGAATTTGCCGCGCGAATGAAGTGGATTTTGACGCACAAATAAAGCGAATTTTGATGCGTGAATGAAGTAAATTTTGATGCGCAAATGAAACAGATTTTGATGCGCGAATAAAGCAAATTTTGACGCGCTAATGAAACGGATTTTGACACACGAATAAAGTGGATTTTGACGTGTGAATTAAATTATTTTATCATTTTATGCATGAATGAAGCGGATTTTGTTGCGCCAATGAAATTGATTTTGGTGTACAAATGAAGCAAATTTTGAAGCGTGAATGAAGCGAATTTTGTAGGACGAATGAAGCGGATTTTGACGCCCGAATAAAGTGGATTTTGACGCACGAATAAAGCGAATTTTGACGCGCGAATGAAGCGGATTTTGACAAATGAATGTAGCGGATTTTGCAGCACGAATAAAGCGGGTTTTGCTGCGCGAATTAAGCAGATTTTGATGCAGGTATAAAGCAGACTTTGACATGCGAATGAAGCGGAATTTGATGCACGAATGAAGCAGATTTTGATAAGCGAATGAAGCGGATTTTGACGCGTGAATGAAGCGGATTTTGACACACGAATAAAGCGGATTTGGATGCGCTAATGAAGCAGATTTTGAAGCATGAATGAAGTAGATTTTGACGCGCGGATGAAACTGATTTTGAAACATAAATGAAGCGGAATTTGATACGCGAATGAAGCGGATTTTGATACGCGAATGAAGCGGATTTGGCGCGCAAATATAGCGAGTAATCTCAAAATGTCTAAATAGAAGATTTATTTGAGCGTTCCGCGTCTGGTGTGAACACAGCATTAAACTGTAGGATAGTCTCCTTCCAATGAGGATGCTTATATTTTAGGATTCGGAGCATCTGAAAGATTTCAGACACTGTCCAAGCAAATGTTTTGAGTGCTGTAAGTGAGTGTGGTTTATTTTCAGACAGTGTTGTTAGACTGTAATTGATCAGAGAGCCTCACAGGACCTGAAAGAAACCACTGAGAATAAATACAGCAGCAGTCTTCTGTGCACGGAGGAATGTTTGCTTGCAGCTTTGTTCGTCAGAAAAGCAGACAGACAGAAAATCAGACGGACAGACAGACACGCTGAAAACCCAGACACAAAACTAGACAAAGAGTTGTCTGCGAGCGGCGGCGCTGCGGATCATCCTGCAGAAAACAAGCTTACAGGCTGATCTCAGCGCAGATTTCACACCTTCTTTCACATTGATGAAAACTCAAGGGGGTTAGAGGAGGAAAGTGAGAGCGGGTTGAGTTTAAACGAAACGGCATGAAATCAAACTGTACTCCTCTTATTTCTGTATCTATATAGTAGTGCTTGCTACAGTATCTGCACACTTCATTATTTAGTGTAAATTCATTTTCCCTCATAATCTTTGATCAAAATCCATTTTCTGCACTTCTGGTCACATGAAATGCCTTTACAGAGGAGCTGTCAGTCCTTTAGGGCGGGGCTATCAGTCTTTTAGGGAAGAGCTATCAGTTTTTAGGGCGAAGCTATTAGTCTTTTAGGGAGGGGCTACCAGTCCTTTAGGGAGGAGCTATCAGTTCCTTATGGAGGGAGAGGGTGCTCGCTGCAGAGCCATTTGAGGAGAGGTGAGCTCCAGAGAGGGGGAGCATGAGCTGTCGCTCCTCCTCCTGTAAGCTGTTTTAATGCGTACACCAACCCCACCCCTAACCCTACCCCCAGTGACATCACTCGTAGAAGAAGTGCAAAAAAGGTGGAGCTCAAGTTTAAGCTCCCCCTCTCTGGAGCTCAGCTCTCCTCAAATGGCTCTGCAGCGAGCACCACTTGTATGGAGGGGCTATCATTCTTTTAGGGAGGGGCTATTAGCCCTTTAGGGCGGAGCTATCAGTTCCTTAGGGAGGGGCTATCATTCCTTTAGGGCAGGGCTATCAGTCCTTTAGGGGCGGGGCTATTAGTCATTTTCTGGTGTGGCTCTCCATCACTTAGGGCAGGGTCTCAGTCCTATAGGGCGGGGCTATCAGCCTTTTAGGGCAGGTCTATCTGTCCTTTAGCCCTCAGTCCTCCAGGGTGGAGCTATCAGTCCTTTAGGGCAAAGCTATCAGTCTTTTAGGGAGGGGCTATCAGTCCTTTAGGGCGGGGCTATCAGCCTTTTAGGACAGGTCTATCAGTCCATTAGGGGGCGGGGCTATTAGTCATTTTCTGGTGTGGCTCTCCGTCACCTAGGGCAGGGTCTCAGTCCTTTAGGGCGGGGCTATCAGCCTTTTAGGACAGGTCTATCAGTCCATTAGGGGGCGGGGCTATTAGTCATTTTCTGGTGTGGCTCTCCGTCACTTAGGGCAGGGTCTCAGTCCTTTAGGGCGGGGCTATCAGCCTTTTAGGGCAGGTCTATCTGTCCTTTAGCCCTCAGTCCTCCAGGGTGGAGCTATCTGTCCTTTAGGGCAAAGCTATCAGTCTTTTAGGGAGGGGCTATCAGTCCTTTAGGGAAGAGCTATCAGTTTTTTAGGGTGGAGCTATTAGTCTTTTAGGGAGGGGCTATCAGTCCTTTAGGGAGGAGCTATCAGATCCTTATGGAGGGGCTATCATTCCATTAGGGAGGGGCTATCAGTTCTTTAGGGAGGAGCTATCAGTTCCTTAGGGAGGGGCTATCATTCCTTTAGGGAGGGGTTATCAGTCATTTAGGGAGGGGCTATCTGTCCTTAAGGGCAGGGCTATCAGTCCTTTAGGGGCGGGGCTATCAGTCATTTTCTGGTGTGGCTCTCCGTCACTTAGGGCAGGGTCTCAGTCCTTTAGGGCAGGTCTATCAGTCATTTAGTTCTCGGTCCTCCAGGGTGGAGCTATCAGTCCTTTAGGGTAAGGTATCAATCTTTTAGAGCGGAGCTATCAGTTTTTTAGGGGGTGTGGCTATCAGTCCTTTAGGGAGGGACTTTCAGTCAATTGGGGTGGAGCTATCACTCCTTTAGGGCGGAGCTATTAATTCTTCAGGGCGGGGCAATCGGTCATTTAAGCCAGGGTTATGAGTGGATTATCTAATTTCTGCCCTGCTTTCATCCATTCATCAGTCATTAATTTTGTTAGCAACGCACATCTTCTAACAAGCCAATCAGTTCCTAAAGATAGAAATGAAGTCCCTTTTTTCACATTTCAGGACAGTTTCAAGTGGATGTAAAAACTTGTTTTATGCAGACTTTAAGATTCCTCTAAACCATTAAAAATAATGAACATTAAAGTTTAATAATAATTAAACTAGTTTTTTTTAACTAATTAAACTTTAAACTAATTAAATAAAGTAAAAAAAAAACTCCTATTATTAACAACTGACCAGATTAAACCACATTAAATATAATAATCCAAACAAAACTGATTTAATATTTCTAAAAATCAAGGAAAAGAAGAAAAAAAAGCTAATCTGTTTTCTCTTTATTTTTATTATTATTATTATTATTATTATTATCGTCATTATTATTGTATTATTATAGGCTACTGTTTAATTTTTGTATTCTTTTTAAATACTGTTTTGCATAATTTGTCGCCCCCCCCCCCCCTTCTTTTTTAAAGGTTTATACCATTTTAGAATTTAGAAGTATTGTTTAATAATTTAAACTTAGTATGGCAATGCTCTAAGCAATTTACCATATTTATTTTATTTTATTTTACTTTACTTGTTTAACACTTTAATGCACAAGCTTTAAAATAGATATAGAAAAAATAAACTTAGACGGGTCACTTTAGACCGATGTAGTGCATCAAAGGGTTAAAAAATATTAAAATTAATTTATCAGAAATACAAAATGCCAAAAACTCCATTCATTTTTATATTTTATAATAGTAACATGTTTTCACTTTGTTTAGTTTTTTGCGGCTTTAGTTAAAATATCTCTAAAGTTAATGTTGTTTATTTTTTAGTGGGTCTTTTTTGTTGTTTAATGTTGAGTTATTTGATTCAGATTTGATAATCAAAATATATAAAAAATACCTTTCTTGTCCTTTAAATACACTAAACACATATATATTTTGTAATTTTCAAGTGTTTTTGGTTTTTTTACAGTAGTAAATTGCATCACGGGATGTTGATTTTACTTTTGACGTTGAAAAATCAGCTCTATAGTTTAACAAAGTGACTTTTATTAACATTTTAATGACAAAATATTAATTTAAACAATTAAAAATGTTCATAAAAGTCTCTTTTTAGATCTTTGGGGTCAAAAGTGACTGATAATGCAGTTCAAAAGTATAAACAAACAACCTAAAAACATAAATGTGAAAGGATGTTTACCGATATTTTAACAGTGTATGCTATAGCCTGCTCCACAAGCAAACAAGTGTGTAATGGTGTTAGTGTGTGAGTCTCTGGTAATCGGTGAAAGTGAACAGAAGCGGCGGGAAGAAGGGGGCGGGGCTGCGGCTGAATAGAAGAGGGATGGCGCGAAAAGAAAGAACGCGGGGTGGCCTGTGCGATGACATCATCCCTCATTTGCATAAATCTCAGCCCGAGCTCTGATTGGCCACGGCCAAGAGAAACCGAAGCCGCTTTTCATCCTTTTCAATGCTCGTCCGGGACCGCAAAGAGAGAGTGTGCGTGTGTGTATGTGTGCGCGCGCGTGTGCGCCGTTTCATTCGCTGCTGCCAGGAGACGCGCATCTCTTTTACCGCCGGTAGACTCTTCAGTCTGTCAGCCTCACGTACAGCTCCAGTCTGCTGGGTGTTATCACCGCAACATTTGTTTGCCGGTTCTTTCCACATTCTCAACAGCTGAGCAGCCGGTTCCGCTCGGAGAGAGAGAGAGAGAGAGGGAGAAGATCCAACAAAATAAACGGGAGGAGACGCGAGTACCGACTGGGCGTTGCTGGAGGACAAAACTGCTGTAGACTCGGTAAGATTCATTTTTAATTCTCCCACAACTAATTAACCCCATCAATGATTGTCAGTGTCAGTATAAGAAGCGCTTTTCATTCAGCGGAGTGATTTACGACGGGCGCATTGATATGTAAATGAATATTTATGAGCTCTTGTTCGCCTCGCTCATTATAATGGGAGCACCGGCGGAATAAATGAGATCATCCTATGGATGGAAATGCCGCCGAAGCGAGCAGGTTTCACACCGGTTTGATTTATAGGGTTAAACACGCTATCACAGTGTGGTTATTTCATATATATATCAGAGCGCCTCAATGGTGGATGTCTGGGCGGCGACGGCAAACCCACTCGTAATGTTGGCGGATTTCATCACGGACAGTCCTTCAGAAAGCCCATATCGCACTGACACACGAAGCATAGCCCGGTTTTTCGTGCTTGGCGTGGCTTTTTGTGCGTGAAACTTTCCCCTCGTTTGTTCACTGGAGTCTTTTGTTCTGCGTCTCCTCCACCCGCCCGACACACACACACACACACACACTCACACTCACACACACATTATATTCACCCGCCCGCTTCACTTAATATATTCACGCTTTTGGAACACTCAGAATTGAATTGTTTGGTCCATATAGGCGTATAATCTATAGAAACTCATAGTATAGGCTACATCATATAATAGCCGGTGCACATTTATGTAGATTAGCAATATAATTTTGAGTCATACACTGGAAAAAAAATGATGTCTGCAAAACTGTTGTAAACAATTTATTTGTGTTGAATTTATACAAATTAAATTTAATAAAAATATACTTAATTTGTTTGTTTAAATTCAGCCTAAATAAATAGTTTACAGCCACTTAATATATATATATATATATATATATATATATATATATATATATATATATATATATATATATATATATATTGCTTAAATTACTTAAATATAAGTGCTATATAAATAAATAAATAAATAAACTAAATTAACGTTAAAAAAATTTAGTTAATCCATGGAATTATTTCTAAATATTTTTTTCTGTGGAAACATATATTTAAGTGTAATTAGATGTGTTTAAAACTGTCGGATGACTTATTTAATTCACCCAAAAATCATCATTTACTCATCCTGCACTTGTGCCAAACCTGTTTGAGTATCTGTTGAACACAAAGGAAGATAATCTGAAGAATGTTTTCGAAAAACAGCCATTGGACTCCTTATTGTTTCATTTCTACTGTGATGTCATTGATTTCCTCCCTCTTATATCTTGTTTTGTGTTCAAACTATGTATTAAATTCATAAAAGTTTGCACCTGCTTGAGCGTAGGGGAAATGATGAGGGCTTTTTTCAAATGTTCAATGTACTGTCTCTTTAAGGAAAGGCTAGACCTCATATAGACTAATGATACTGCATTAATTAAACCAACCAACCTGCCAAAATGCAAGCCCTCTGGTGCAGTTTATCCGCTCGTTTCGATGAAATACAGAGCGGTTAACAACCAGCAGCTCAATATCATTCAATAGTCCACTGTGAAGTATTGAGCTTTCCTTATATACTATAAAAAAATCCATGGAGATTAATCTGAGCCGGATTTTGACTTTAGAAATGATCCACTCATTGTGCACCCTTTTTTTTTATTAGTTTCACATTTTCTTCTTCTCATAGAGTAGCTCAATGGAAATCAACAGGGTGTGTGTGTGTTTTTTTTTTTTTGGCATTGGCTTGTTCTCGAATCCATGGAGTCCGAATGTTGCGTTTCGCAGCAGGTGCGGGTCGGTTTGCCTTCTCCTGCTGCTAAATCTTGGCTTTGTAAGTCAGTCCGTCCTATTGTCTTGCTTAATAGTTGCCTTCTCTCTCCTCGGCACACAAAAGGGTTTAAGACGGATGCTTCAGCCCCCTGCGGCCACCACAGCTCCTCTCAGATCTGTCTCCTCTGCTTTTGTCTGGGATTTTTTGTGTATGATTATGGAAAGCGCTTTTATAAATATAGCAAAGAAAAGTGAGTGGTATTTCTTGTAAGCCGTCAGTATGTATGAATTCAGAATATGGCGAACAAATCTCAATATTTTATATGCATTTCTGTTTCAAAACAACAGTTTTACACTAGTCAGATTGTAAAGGGGTGAAATGTTCAAAAAGTGTAATAAAACAGAAGTTATGTTCCTTTATGTTTATTAAAATAATAAAACAGTAAATACATATTTAATATATTACATAAAAAATGTATTTAACAAAACCTGTTTTAGCCTAAAATTGACATAAAATCCAAACTAAATATCTGAACCAATTATATACCAGATTTAAAGTTGATATCTCAAAAAAACTGAGCTTTCATTTATATTTGATTAGGGCGCAGTAGCAAACATCAACACCAGTTTTCTTTGGTGACCACATAAGGCTGCCCCCTATTTCATGTTTTGAGGCATGCGAATCATACATTTGAAAATATTTTTGACATTATTTGTGAAGTATAAAATTGACGTAAAATCAAAACTAAATATTTTATCCAGCTCTACGCCAAATTTGAAGTTGATATCTCAAAAAATGAGCTTTCAGTAATATGTTGTGGGGGCGCAGTGCCAAACATCACCACTAGTTTCCATATAAGGGCGCCTTCTTGTTCTGTGTATGTTTTGGGCAATGTAAACCATATTTTTTATAATTGTTTTGACATTATTTGTAAAGTATTGTTTTGAAATAAAACTAAATATCTGAACCAATTATATTCCAAATTTGAAGTTGATATCGCAAAAAATGAGCTTTCAGTAACATTTTATTAGGGCGCAGTACCAAACATCACCACTAGTTTCCTTTGTTGAGCATATAAGGGCACCCCTATTTCTGTGGATGTTTTGGGAAATGTAAATCATATTTTTTATAATAGTTTTAACATTTGTAAAGTATAAAATTTGATGTCAAATTAAAGCTAAATATCTGAGCCAATTATATTCCAAATTTAAAGCTGATATCTCAAGAAATGAGCTTTCAGTAATATTTTATAAGGGCGCAAACATCACCACTAGTTACCTTTAGTGACCATATAAGGGCGCCCCCTATTTTTGTGTATGTTTTGGGCAATGTAAACCATATTTTTATAATAGTTTTGACATCATTTGTTAAGTATAGAATTGAAATAAAGTCAAAGCAAAATATCTGAGCCAATTATTTTCCAAATTTAAAGTTGATTTAGCAAAAAATTAGCTTTCAGTAATATGTTGTATGGACGCAGTACCAAACATCACCACTAGTTTCCTTTGGTGACCATATAAGGGTGGCCTCTGTTTCTGTGTATGTTTTGAGGAATGGGAATCATATTTTTTAATAGTTTTGACAATATTTGTAAAGTATTTAATTGACGTAAAATCAAAATTAAATATCTAAACCAATTATATTCCAAATTTAAAGTTGATATCTCAAAAAATGAGTTTTCTGTAATATTTGACTAGGGCGCTGTACCAAACATCACCACTAGTTTCCATATAAGGGCACCACTATTTCTGTGTGTGTCTTGAGGTATGTAAACCATATTTAATTTGTTTTACATTATTTGTTAAGTATAGAATAGCCATAAAATCAAAGCTAAATATCTGAGTCAATTATATTCCAAATTTGAAGTTGATATTTCAAAAAATGAGCTTTCAGTAACATTTTATTAGGGCGCAGTACCAAACATCATCACTAGTTTCCTTTGTTGAGCATATAAGGGCACCCCTATTTCTGTGTATGTTTTGGGAAATGTAAATCATATTTTTTTATAATAGTTTTAACATTTGTAAAGTATAAAATTTGATGTCAAATCAAAGCTAAATATCTGAGCCAATTATATTCCAAATTTAAAGTTGATATCTCAAGAAATGAGCTTTCAGTAATATTTTATAAGGGCGCAAACATCACCACTAGTTACCTTTAGTGACCATATAAGGGCGCCCCCTATTTTTGTGTATGTTTTGGGCAATGTAAACCATATTTTTATAATAGTTTTGACATCATTTGTTAAGTATAGAATTGAAATAAAGTCAAAGCAAAATATCTGAGCCAATTATATTCTAAATTTAAAGTTGATATCGCAAAAAATTAGCTTTCAGTAATATGTTGTTTGGGCGCAGTACCAAACATCACCACTATTTTCCTTTGGTGACTATATAAGGGTGGCCTCTGTTTCTGTGTATGTTTTGAGGAATGGGAATCATATTTTTTAATAGTTTTGACAATATTTGTAAAGTATTTAATTGACGTAAAATCAAAACTAAATATCTAAACCAATTATATTCCAAATTTAAAGTTGATATCTCAAAAAACGAGCTTTCAGTAATATTTGACTAGGGCGCAGTACCAAACATCACCACTAGTTTCCATATAAGGGCACCCCTATTTCTGTGTGTGTCTTGAGGGATGTAAACCATATTTTTTTTTTTTTTTTACATTATTTGTAAAGTATAGAATAGCCATAAAATCAAAGCTAAATATCTGAGCCAATTATATTCCAAATTTGAAGTTGATATTTCAAAAAATGAGCTTTCAGTAACATTTTATTAGGGCGCAGTACCAAACATCATCACTAGTTTCCATTGTTGATCATATAAGGGCACCCCTATTTCTGTGTATGTTTTAGGAAATGTAAATCATATTTTTTTATAATAGTTTTAACATTTGTAAAGTATAAAATTTGATGTCAAATCAAAGCTAAATATCTGAGCCAATTATATTCCAAATTTAAAGCTGATATCTCAAGAAATGAGCTTTCAGTAATATTTTATAAGGGCGCAAACATCACCACTAGTTACCTTTAGTGACCATATAAGGGCGCCCCCTATTTTTGTGTATGTTTTGGGCAATGTAAACCATATTTTATAATAGTTTTTGACATCATTTGTTAAGTATAGAATTGAAATAAAGTCAAAGCAAAATATCTGAGCCAATTATATTCTAAATTTGAAGTTGATTTAGCAAAAAATTAGCTTTCAGTAATATGTTGTTTGGGCGCAGTACCAAACATCACCAATAGTTTGCTTTGGTGA